TCGCACAGACCAGGAGTTAGAAGCGTGGCTGGCTTCCAGCAGAAAAAGGGAAGCCCCTTTTCCTTTCACTTCGTTTTATCTACCTTGACCCCGCCCTGTTGGGCGGATAGCTTTGTGGGGTTCACTCCTACACCCATTTCTTTTCAGCTATGAATGATACTTCATTTTATGGACTGACCCACTCATCAACTGAAGGATATCTTGGTTCCTTTCAAGTTTGGGCATCTGTGATTGTTTTAACAAAAAAAATTATTGGTATACATACATGACAAGAATTTTTGAATTCCAACATGATCTCTCCATCTTACAGAGAGATATAAAGCCATGGTAAATGCATGATTCATATTCATCTCCTCTGAAAGCTGACAGGAGATGGTGTGCACACGTAACTCTGTTTCCAGTTCCGTGACAGCATTTCTCTGGGCACCATGGATAGCTACACACAGGAAGGCCTGGGGAATATTCTGAAAGCAGCTACTGAGAGGTGGCTGTGTCTCTTTCCCGGTGGCCTTGTTCAATTATTTCTCAAGGTTCTCCCACTGGAAAGAAACAGGAAACAAATGAATGAGACTTACCAATTTTTCTAATTAGGTTATTTTCAAGATAGAGAATTTTTAAGTCTCCGCATCATTTGTTGATATGTTCCGGTCTATTTCCTGCTGACGCAAGGAGAGTTCCTCCAGGGGAAAAGTGACACAGTCATTGTGCTCAGCATCCTGTCTAATAAGATCTTCAGTGACTGAAAGAAATTTTGCAGCATATTATATCCCCATTTCCATTGTTCAGTGTCGGGTTATTGTATTATTAACAGGGTAGAGTTTCTTTGCAGCTAAGTGTTGAGTCTTTGGGCCCAAGCAATTTTTCACACAGTGAGATCAGACAAATGTTGTTTGCTGTCCACTTCATGGAGTCTGTGCAAAGTCATTATGTGGGGCAAATAAAACAGACACAATGAAACCTTCGGTCTAGTTTATCTCCGTATGTGTAAGATCTATGTAAGTTTTGCTGTCTAGGTGGAGGGAGAATTGACAGTTGACAGCTGTAAGAATGTGAATATAGATTCTCCTGGTGGAACCAGACCAAACTGGTGAGATCCATTATTGGACTGAAGACGGAGCAACTGAGTCACTGACAAAGGACAGAACATAATACATTTCTGCCATCCAATAAGGAAGGCCACTCATCATTTAATCAATAATTGTGCAACTGAGCTTCAGAGAAAGAAAAGGACACCCCAGATTCCAGATCTTGCATTTCAGACTTATAAAGTAACACTTACCTGCTCTATTTCCTGGAGGAATAAAGGAGAGAGAGAGACAGAGACAGAGACAGAGACAGAAAGAGACTATTGATGTGTTGTAATGATTTAGCATCAGTATTCTCACCTCAAATGATCCCTCAAGAAAACACCTCACAGGTGTGTTCAGCTGCTTGCCTTTAACCAATTCCACCTGCAGTAAAGTTAACAACCGAGATTAAGTATTACAGTTTAACCAATAGTTTCTAAAAATAATTCTACTATTTTCTCAAAGAAGATGCTTTATATTTATAACTCTACTGTTTGTCTTAAAACATTTAAGCTTATATTAAAGCTCAATTATTTATTGTTTTAAAATATAAAGCTTCCTGTGGCTTTTGGTGCTGTTTATCATGACAGTAATTTAAAAATTTTCATTTCTTTCTACTTGCACATTTATGATTGACCCTGTAAGATACATTATATCTTATTGTTTCTATCTAGTGTGAATGTTATATATTTTTATTTGTTCATTTGAGCTTTACAGATACTTTATTTTAATGTACATTATTTCTAATTTGTAGTTCACATTCAAGGCCAAATATTCAAGATAGAAAAGAATAGGGAATAAAATTTAAAATGATAAATACTAAATTTACCATTGTGCCTTGTCATTGTTGAATTGCATCAATCCTGCAACTGTTATACACTTATTTCATAAGTGTATCTACTTTGTTTAGAAAAATTCAAATGTAATTATATCATTTCCTCCAGAATATTTTACTTATATTGTACTTTTTATTCAGTGATCATTTCAGATACTGCATTTTTGCCATTTTATATTTTTTAATTTCATTTGACATTCCAACAACAGTTGTCCCTCCCACACTTGCTCTAGCCCCAATATTGAATTTTTAACAGTTAAAATTATTTTATTTCTCTAGCCTTAAATTTGTGTTTTTCCAGTGTCACTCTTTAGCAATTGATGTTTTTGAAGACTACCTGAACATGATTGCTTTAAAAGCAGAAAGAAGTATTTCAATCACATTAAACTGAAAGTAGATTTCATGATAATTTGTAAACATATTTACAGAAATTTAGCAGAAAAAAACTTTAGAAAATTATCTGATTCTTCAGGAACAAGACAGCATGAAACACAGCCAAGATTATATTTACTTGATTATACAGCATGTCTTATTGTTAGTCCACTCTTATTCATTTTAATATATTTCTTGAGTGCATATGTATGTGTGTACTCACAAGGTAAACAGGTGTAAATAGACATAGTAATATAGAATCTGATTTTCAATTTTATTACTTAAAATGAAATATACATCAGAATATTTGGAGATCTGGAAAGCTTATATAAAACACAGTGAAAAGACTTGAGATGTGGAGAAAAACCGGAAAAGCCTAAAATGTTTGAAGAACCATTTTTAAGGGAGGATAGTTTTAGGTGTCTAATGCAAATGATAGAATTAGACAACAAATTTAACTGGCTTTTTTTGAGTAGTGAGCTCCTTTTTAGTGACAGACATTGCCCTAAAGCAATTACAGTCACTTATTGGCAGAAAGTCAGAGGCTGACAAGTCATTTCTCTGGCTGAGTCTGTCAGTGCCAAGAAATCTCTGGATTTCAGATGTATCAATCACCTTATTACAGTAACCAGAAAAAATTACATTTTTTACTCCCATAAAAATTATTTCAGGAAACAAAATTACTATTGCTCAAGGATTACTACATGTCTCTAGAGGCACATTTCTTCCCCAGTTGAAAGGAGCTTTCTGAGATGAGCTATAAATCTCTGTATTATACTGCCTTAGGCTGTTGCAGTTGTGTGGTTGACAACAAGAAGAGCAGAGCCAAGTTAAAATTGTACTACAGATATTTTCAATATGAAGACTCATAGGAGAAGATGAGATGATACATACAAACTAAAGAATACTAAATTTGAATGGAAGTAAAGGAAAGTAAAAGAAGTCAAAACTGTAAGTACTAAATATGGATTATGAGAATATTGTTTACAGACATAATTAATAAATGATTTAATGAAAAAAATCAACAACTGAAAGATGAGCAAAAAGAAGTTGTTGTCTCAGTCTGGTTGGAAACTCCATCCAGCAGAGGGAAAGTCTCTTTGCCCACTTTTCTGTCTTGATGACTTCAGCTGTACTGGTTTTGGGTAATCTTTCAAGGACTTGGGTCAGACAAAATCTGATAAAACAGGGACTTGTATTCTAACATTATCTGATCCTGTATAACCCCTTTCAAGTTTCCTACTTAAAGAGTATTTACCCATTAAATGAACAAATATTTATTGACTATTAAAATTTGCCCTTAATGAAGAATGGAGTTACTAACAAAGTAACACAAAGTTTTGCTTGAAGACTTATAGCAATTAGTGAGACAAATGTTATGAGTTAAAATAAAGACAAAAACAACTGTGCATACCTATTGTTCAGGGTTTGAATGGCATATTTTTTAGGTAATGTTGAAGTAGTAAAGATTTTTATGTAACTAACTTGATCTTTCACCCAAAGTGGTTCTCCTATGAGATACTTAGAAATCTGAAAACACTTCTTTATGAGGTACAGCAGTGGTAGAAATTCATTTAAAAAGTTTACAGGTGTTCTGTGTATGAGGACATAAATTCTATACAATGCCATAATAGAACTCCTTTTGTACTTAAAATTCTAGAAATGAAAATAATTTGAGGGGCATTCAATTCTTTGCTCAATCACATAGCTTACAAGTGGTAAATTTTTACTAATATTCACTGGTGGGAAATTATCTTAGTTATTAGGAAGAAAATGACATGTAACACTGAATCTGAACCATTCTGCTTAGATTTTGAAATTATAGCAGATTGTGGACAGTATTATCCTGTTCCACTGTGTTTGTTAAATGTGAAAGCTAAAAACACTATCAATTAGTAGACACCAAAAAATAGGATTCTTAAAATCAAAGTGACTCGTTTAAAAGATGTTTTTAATTTAGTAGACCTCATCAGGGCCCCCATTTCTTCTCTCCAGTGAGTCCCAGTCATCCTTGTCAAAGCCATCCCATGTCCCCCGCCACCTTCAAGTTGGCAGCCTCTGTCAGTTGACTATTGTTACACAAAGCATGCACCAACACACGTGTGTGCATTTGCACAAATGTGTATAAACTCAATCTTTTGGGTTCACTTTTGGCTGCGTGTATATATGGTTGCAAGACTGAACACTCTACACATTGGTTGAGTCCAGAAAAACACGATGCTAAATAGTTAATATGTTTAAGCACATCATAGTGTTTTCCCCTTCTTCTTGTTCAACCCTCCATCTATTAATTCTTTGTCTTTCCTCACCACTAAATAAACACCGAAATGGAGTTATATTAGTATTTCACATTTTGGTGATGGTAATATTTTCTTGATTTTAGAAAAGAAGGTGAGAAGTTAATAAACTGTTTTTGTCTCCTGCTTTCAAATAGATTCTAAAATATTTAGTTTATTTTTAATTGTTACTCCCAAACTTCTTAAAGTCTTCTGAAGGATTCATCATTAAACTTACAAATATGCTAACCAAAATGCTAAAATAAAGCAAAACCTTAAGATAAAATTTATAAATTGTATTTTTCCTACTCATATCTAATTATACTTATTTCTCACATTTTATTCTATTTATATACATGTATAATTAAATTAACACACTTAAAAGCTCACCATAATTTTCTTTATGAAATAGGTATATTACAATGCCAGTGATGGTAATATTTTCTTGATTTTCATTTAGGTGACTTTACATTGGATACATGGCTCACAGTAATGAATCCACGGTATCTGAGTTTGTGCTTCTGGGACTCTCTAAATCTTGGGGACTTCAGCTTTTACTTTTTACCATCTTCTCTGCCATCTATGTGGCATCAGTCTTGGGCAATGTCATGATTATTGCTATAATTTTCTCTGACTCACATTTGAACTCTCCCATGTACTTCTTACTCAGTAACCTTTCATTCATTGATGTCTGCCAATCTAACTTTGCCACTCCCAAGATGCTTGCAGACTTTTTTGTTGAGCGCAAAACTATTTCCTTTGAGGGTTGCATGACCCAGATATTTCTTCTTCACAGCTTTGTTGGAAGTGAAATGATGTTGCTTGTAGCTATGGGATATGATAGGGTTGTAGCAATATGTAAGCCACTACACTACAATCTAATTATGAATAGGAGGTTATGTATAATGTTTGTGTCTATATCCTGGGCAGTAGGTATTCTTCATTCTGTGAGCCACTTGGCATTTACGGTGAACCTGCCATTCTGTGGTCCCAATGAGGTAGATAGCTTCTTTTGTGATCTTCCCTTGGTGATAAAACTTGCTTGCATGGATACATACAGAATGGAAATTTTGACGTTGGCTAACAGTGGCCTGATATCACTGAGCTGTTTCCTGGCTTTAATCGTCTCCTATATCATCATTTTCGTCACTGTCCGGCATCAGTCCTCCAGCGGGTCATCCAAAGCACTTTCTACACTAACTGCCCACATTACGGTAGTGATTCTTTTCTTTGGGCCTTGTATTTATTTCTACATATGGCCTTTTAGCAGACTGTCTGTGGATAAGTTCCTTTCTGTCTTCTATACTATCTGTACTCCTTTACTGAATCCTGTCATATATTCTCTGAGGAATGAAGATGTTAAGTCAGCCTTGAGGAAACTGAGAAACCGCCATGTAAATCCTGGGAAAAACTAAGGATCTCTTTGAAAGAGTCTCATATTGACTTAAAATGAAGAGCCTCCCGGATATTCTAGAATCATGCAAATTATCTTTGTTTGTGATAAAAATGGTTAAATTATGGAAATGAGCCATCATAAGTTCACTGCTTGTCATATTGGCACACAATCACATCTCCTATGTCATGCTTAATTTCCAAACGAAAGCAATATACACATTATAATTTTGCCCAACATGATATAACTATCCCATGTAAAATCACAAACATGTTGTTATGTGTTTACCTAGGCCATCATTACATCAAATGCAATGTAACTACCCTATGTACAGCTGTAAATGCATTACATATTTTAGAATAGGTAACAATGTCCCTTGAAGGATGTTTTAATATTCTATAATTTAAATATGATAACCACTGATATTCTCTTAACTGATGTTACCTTACATGATAAAGCAGTTGAAGAAAAAGACATAAATATCTGTACAAACACATTCTTAACAGGATATGACAGAATCATGAAAATTATAACCCTCATTCTAAAACAGGTCATAAGCTTTAGGTGGTATTTATAAAAGTACATACCTATAGTACCCATTATTTATTTTCTTCACCCTCAGCAAGCATCTTGGGATGTCTTGGGTTTTTTCCTAGAGGGGGTGAGCCAATCCACTATTCCTGAAGGGTTGGGGCTTTTTGTTAATCTGCTTGGATTAGATTGTTGCAGTCCCCATTGACTTTAATTACAGAATATGTTAACACTAAGAGTTACCTTAAAGATGTCTACAGACACTACAGACACAGTTCTTCCTGCCTCCACTGTGGATAAACAACCCAAATTCTTCTTCATTATTCCTTCTTTAGCCTGTTGGAAGGGCATCAGAATCCCAAAGTGGCCATAGTGAGATTTCAGCTTTTAGTTCAACTAAATATTTGTTGTGTCTTCTGACAGAAGTGCTCTCCTCTCTGGAATGAAAGCTTCTATACCAGCAGAACTTAAGGTCATGGGAACAGGAAACTCAGATTTTCCTGAATCATTCCATTTTGTGCTCACTGATTCCTGGACTCTTGTATCTCAGTGTTAGGGGGAAAATCATACAATTTGTTGGATGATAATTCAAAGCATGCACTTCCTTCTGAAGAACACTGACTAACAACCTTCCAGACTGCTGCCAACAAATTGACTCTACAATTATGTCTTCAAAAGGCCCTTCCATTGTTCTGTCAGGCCACTTGCTTTAGGATGATAGGGAACAAGTAAGACCGGTGGATTCCATGAATGTGAGCACATGATTGCACTTCTCTGACTGTGAAGTGGGTTTCTTGATCAGAAGCAACACTGTGTAGAGTACTATAATGGTGGGTAAGGCATTCTAGAAGTCCAAAACATGATAGTTTTGTCAGAAGCATTATGTGCAGGAGAGGCAAATCTATAACAAAGCTAAGTATTCCCGGAGAATAAAGTGTTGTCCTTTCCATTAAGGAAGCAGTCCAATGTAGTCAACCAGCCACCAGATTCCTGGCTAGTCACCGTAGGAAAATATGTCATATCATGGTTTTAGCATTTGTCCTGGTGTTGATATGGCACTCAGTAGCAGCTGTAGCCATGCCAGACTTGATGAGGGGAAGTCCGTGTTATAGAGCCTATGCATGTCCTCCAAAGAGCCACTTTGATGATGGGCTCATTTGGGCAATTAAGTGGTTGAGGAACCCAGCTGGGCTGACTGTCTACAGAACAGATGATCCTATCTGATTATTGAACTCCTCCTTTGATGAAGTTACCTTTTGATGAGCATTTGCACAGGATACAAGTATCTTCATATCCTTAAGCAATTTGGAGAAATTTATTCACACATGTCTTCTGATTATGCTCTTTCTAAGTCTTTTACCACTCAAACAACCCATTGGCTAAAGCTCACCAATTGGCGAATATTTTCATAACTGGCCATTTCTCTTTCCAAACAAAATATATGACCATGAGTACAACCTGAAGTTCTGACCACAATAAAGATTTTCCTCCATCAGCGTCTTTCAGGGTTATCCCAGAAAGGGATGGTAATACTTCAGCTGTCCACTCTGGGTGGTGTTTGCATAATGTGCAGAACAAACCAGGCCCTGGTCTTCTCTACCTCAGTCAACTGACTATGGAGCACACACTACGGTGCTCTAGGAGCATGCTTGGGGACAGAAGGCATTGTAACAAGAGGAGAAGCGGTATTTGGATAACTTCTTCATACAACTTGCTTGTGCCTTTAAGAACTTCTCATACCCCATCACCCAGAAACCATTTCTATTCGATAATGTACTGCTGCTGACACAAATTACTTTGTGGCCTTTAGGGTCAGAGATTATCAGTAGAAGGAATATGTTATAATTCTAATACTGTAGAAGGAATAGTTCTGTATGTCCTATACCACTGAACGTAGTAGGTCTCTGAAATTTGGTTGGATTTATTTCTCATCCTCTTGTGAGTATACATGTTGTCAACAAGCCCAAAGTAATTGCTACCTCACACCCACTTGGTCAATTAGCAAAATGTTATTGACAAAGTGGGCCAGTGTGACATTTTGTGAAAGAGACAATCAAGAACACTTCAAACTAAGTCACTACAAAGGAATGAAGAATTAAAAATGTCTCTGAGGTAAAACTGCAAAGATATACTGCTGGCCTTGTCAACTGAAATCAAGCAAGTTGCTTCTGGTGGTCCTTACAGACAGATAACAAAACCAAAATCATTTGCTACATCAGTTGCTGCATACTACCTGCCAGTATGTGTTAAGCTGCTCTAGGAGGTACACACATCAGGTCCAGGGACTGCAGCCAGAGCCTCTACTTGAATGTGCTCTCCCCAGTCAACTGTCTTCTTCATGTCACATCTGTCTTCCGTAACTGTGAGATAGGAACGTTAAAGGGAGATGTGGCAAGAAACATCAGCACCTGAAAGTTTCAAGCCCTTGTGGGTGGCACTAATTTCTGCTGTTCCCCCAAGACTATGATATTTTCTTTGGTTCATCATTTTCCCTGGTAGAGGCAACTCCAATGGCTTCCATTTCACCTTTGTGACTGTAGTGTCCCTCACTATACAAGTCGGGGAACCAAACTGTGAATTCTCCTGACTTCTCCACATATCTTTCCCAAATACACATTCTGGAACTGGGGCAGTAACTGCACATTGGGTTCAAGAACCGCTGGACCTACTGTGAGCTGGGATTTGGACGGAACCCCATTAACTATCGGACCTCCATACGTTCCTACTGTAACTGGAGGGCCAGATGCTTCTTTGAGTCCTCCTGGAATCATTGTCAATTCTGAACCAGCATCCAATAGAGCCACAAAAGTCTGATTGTTTCCTTTCCCCTAGGGGACGGTTGCCCTCATAAGAAGCTGTAGGTCACTATGAGGAAGGATGAGAGAAAGACTAAAAGTAAAACTCTTAGGTATTTTAGCAAATTCCCTTCATTCAAAGGTTTTTGAACTCAAGTCAAAAAATCAGTCTACAGTTTGAAATTATCTCTTGCCAAGGATCCAAGGTAACCCCTTTGCCATTTTTTAGGGGGCAGTTCTTCTTATTTGCAGACCAAACAAAAATCCAGTAAGCTTGTTATTTCATGCCTGGAAGTAACATGACTGCCAGTTCCATAGGCAGCCAAGGTTTACCTCAGACTGGCAGCAGACTTGGTAGTGTAAGAGTCACCCAGTTGCTACTGGTTTTGAAGGCATGAAGGAGTATTGGAGAGCAGCTGAGGCTTGGCACTTTGAGAGACCATTGGTGACGATACATTCTCAGTGGCAGTTGAAGGCCCAGGTTCGAAGGGACCATGAAGACAACTAAGGCTTGGCACCATGAAAAGAACCTGGGAGAGACTATTGGTGACAACACAGCTCAGTCAGTTGCAGCAGAAGACCCCTACATTTTGGAGATGCCAGTATCATGGGATGACCATACAAAGAGCAGTTTCTGGGAGTGGAACCTGCCAGAACTTGGAAGACAAGCTGTGTATGCTACAGAGGGCAGAGCCCGAGAAGTGACAAAAACCTTTTGGGGAAGCCCAGAAGATCTTAAGTGAATCCCAGATATTAGAACTCGTTTTGATCTGATAGGGACTCTGCCCTGGTATTTATTTCTCTGTTCGAGTAAGAAAATAGTTAGCTTATTTTTTATTTCTCAGGACTCTACATTTAAAAGACTGAACTTTTAAAGAGAAGATAGGTCTTAAAAGAGAGTTTGGATTTTTAAAGAGGTTGAACTTTGAAAGTATTTGAATTTGTAAAGACTTTGGGAATTTTTAAGTTTGGAAATATTTCACATTGTGTTATCGATATGTTATCTTGGGGACTAGTAAGAAAAGAAAGGTTGTGGCTTAACAGCGATGTGTTTGTGAGTCAAGTTCACAAGGACTCAATGGTGCTAGATAGTTTCAGGTCAACTTGACACAAGCTAAAGTCATCTGAGAGGAGGGAGACTCTGTTAAAATAATGGTCCCAAGCCAGGTGGTGAGAGGCCCTCCTGCTGGACCTCTGGCCAAAAGGAAGTTCACTGGTTGGGCTTCTCTGATCCTGCAGGTTTTTATCCCAACATCTGACTCCTAAGTCTTTATCGGTAACTAGAATGGTAGAGATTTAATTAAAAACTATGTTTTGCAGCAGCAGCAGAGCTGGTGCTGGTGGGCCTGTAATTCCTGCCAGGTCATGACCTGAGCAGTGGAGCACTGACCACGAGGCCACGGAGCCACAGATCATAGTTAAAGTTTTATCAGTAGATTCAGCGGCAGACACTAAGCTGATGGAAAAACAACAGAGGGCAAATAAAGAAACTAGCAATTAGGCTATTTTTCAGCCAAGGCAATCACTTGTAGGGAAAGAAAGGAAAAGCTTCTTGTAAGACAATGTGTTTTATGTCTCAAGCTATCAAATAGTCCTGGAGCCCCAAAATTCCTTATTCCAATCCTGGAGTTAGTTAGTGTTGTCTTGAAATTTTAAACAGAAAACTATAGCATTGTAGATGAAATGGGAAGATTTCTCTTGGTTCTCCATA